TTAAAAAATATATTTTATAGAAAAAAGAATTGCTTAATTGTCCAATGCCTTAACTAAACTTGCAAATCAAACTTACATTAAAACTCGCAATGCACTGATAATGTACAAAATATAATTATATTTAAAATTTTGTTTTTAAATTTTTTTTTAAGTTGACTGTTTTATTTTGCAATTATCTTAAAATAGAAAATAAAAACCCAGATCAGAAATCTTTTTGTTACCTCAATCTCTATTATGTTAATTTTTAATTTATTAGAATATCTTAAAAATTCACTAAATGCATTATTTAAAAATACAAATTCAACATGAAATATATACAAAAATCAGAGACAAAGATATATCCGCATTTAGTTTTAACGTGCTAATTTACCACTTTTTATTTCCTTGATCATGTGGGCCTGATGGCCGAGTGGCTAGCGCTCTGGCGTTCGCTACCACAGGTATCGGGTTCAAATCCTGTCTTTGCCATGGGTGTTTGTAGTGGTTCGGAATCAACTTTAAGCAGTAGGTCCCGTTTAACAGGAGCGCTGCGGGGCGTTGTTACTCCGCGTCCGTGGCTTACCATCAAGTTACACGCGCCTCCTGGGTAATGCAAAGTGAGTAACCGGTGCAGCGCCTTATAGCGAAGATCACGGTCGATTTGCCAAACTACATTAGAAGAAAAAAAAATACTTGATTATCAAAATAATTTATGCCAAGAATTGTTACCAAGTGTTATTTTGCGAAAAAAAAAAAGAAATTAAAAAAAAATTTAATAACGAAATCGGTTTAATCTTTAATTTTTAGTATCAGTTATAATGATTCAAAATATTTTACAAAGCGCTCAATTTTTCCATTTATTATCTAATATGGACAGTCCAAACAAAGACCACCAAATGACATGATAGCGTACATTATGTTGCTGATTCTGTGTACATAAGTATTGAAAATGGTGGTTATGACAATGGTATTAACTTTCCACTAATTCTCTAACAAGTTCGTAAGAAATGTAACAGTTGTATGTTTTCTGACAAATATAGTGTGAAATTAACTAATATACACGCACATGCAAATATATATAACTCTTCTGTACGTGTGTTTGTCACTGAACTCCTTCTAAACGGCTGGGTCGATGAAATTCTTTGTGTGGTTTGAGTACATCCTGGATGGTTTAGATTCACAACGGACACAGTAGGTGGGACTGCAATCGGGTTCTTCTGCACATGTGTTTGTCACTGAACTCCTTCTGAACGGTTTGACCGATTTTTTTGAAGAAATTTTTTTGAGTGTGTTTGAGTGGATCCCTGGATGGTTTAGATTCACAATTGGACCCGGCAGGTGGCGCTGCAATTAGATTACAATATTTTTATATTTTTAATTTATATATATTTTTTTTTCTATAATGTAAATTTTTTTCGTGAACAGAAGGCAAATTTAACTACAAGTCACTGAAATCACCAAATTTTGACAATTAATTTAATTAGCTTACAAATTTTTGTAAGTTTTTTTTTTCTACATTCAAGTCAATGATAGATGAACAATAGATATACTACTGTCTCTAAAAAATAAGACCAATTTTCAATTTAAATTTACCGTGCATATGGAATTTCAATTTTTTTCGTTGTTTAGGCTGTTTTGACATATGTGTGAAATTTGACGTCAAAATATTCATTAGTGTTTTAGTTATGCTTGGCTTTGTGAGACGCTAAAACAGATTCTGGCGATTTTTGAAATGTCTGAATTAATTGAGCAATGAACTTGCATTAAATTTTGTTTGTGGAAAAGTATAGAATGTTGCAGAAGGCATTCGGTGAGCATTCGTATATCGGAAAATAAATGTTTAGAAGTGGTATAAACAGTTCAAAGAAGGCAGAGAACGCATTGAAAACGAAGAGCGCTCCGGTCGACCTCAACCGACGAAGCTCACGATTTGGTGCTTGCAAACCGTCGATTTACGATTAGAGACCTTGCAGATGACGTTGGAATTTCAAAAGGATCGGTCCATTCCATTTTGGGCCTCAAATGCGTCAAATCTTGATTGGTACAGAACACACTGAATGCACCAGCAGCTCACACTGCATTGATTCTTCGTAACCATTTCACCAGAAATGCAATCATATCGTTTCTCAACCACCGTATTCACACTGTGCGACATCTGGCTGTTCCCTAAACACCGTTTTGAATCTATTGAAGAGATTCAACGTGAATCGCCACGTGCTTTGAAGGCCCTCCCTGCCGATGACTTTTTAGCATGCATTAAAAGTATTGGAAAAAAAGTTGGAATAAGTACATTGGGATTACTGTGAAGACGATGAAATAAATTTGGAAGAATAAATAAGAGTTTTTGAAAAAAAAAAATTGGTCTGACTTTTTGGGCACAGTAATGTAACAAGTTGAAAGTCCTTGAAATATTGTTTTTGCTTTCTCTCAAAGGATATTTTCGTGCTTTTCCTTGAATACACATTGCAGGGATTTTGTCTGTTTATTGTTCTTTTTTTTCATGACTATTGTGTTTACTGACAACTATTTTAGTGATCACAATTGTTTATAATGACAGAGACAACACCTGCAATGTTTACTCAAGGAAAAGCACGAAAAGATCTTTTGAGAGAAAGCAAAAACATTATTTCAAGGACTCTCAACTAATATACTGGTTGACGCTGTTAATTAAATCACTATATTTTTATGAACTCATGCAAATAATGTTTTCTTTCTCTTAAATATATTACATTCTTCAAATTAGACTGCGATCTGTGATAAAATTATCTATGATGGAACTTTTCCTTTTTTTATGTAATAAGCATCCAAAAAATTTAAATGAAAATTTTTTCATCGTTTACCAGTCTAATTATAGCACGTGTAAGATAAATAGTAATATTTAATTTTTTTTAATAACCACTATTGTATTTATATGCTCGCATCTAGGTCTTTTTTGACCGTACTCGTGGCTCAGTGGCAACGAGCATTAGGACTGAGGTTCAGTGAGCATTAGGACTGAGGTTCAGTGAGCATTAGGACTGAGGTTCCATCCGCTGGCGGCTTTGTTGTAGACACTGTTTCAAAAAACGAAGGGACTCGATGGCATTTGTGATATTCAGCATCTTCTCTCGTGATTCTGACTACTTGGTGGGAGTTTCCCGGTTTTTCTCCCATACGATACCAAATGCCATGTAGTCTCCCCCTAAAAGTCCTCCCGGAAGACAGTGTCCTCCATCTTCAGCGACTCGGAACCAAGACAGACTTCTACCTACTGGTGCTCCATCACAACAGAAGTTGCTCCTTTCCCTCCATCCATGAGTAGACTCCTCATGGGAGTCCGTCCAGCACTGCAGGACACTGAGGATTAGACACAACACACACAGATCTTTTATTAACAGCGTCTAATGGATATTCAATTTCAGTTCATATTCTTTTCTGATATGAACTGCGGAATTGTCTCGTTTGGTTGTGGATTTCGCAACTTATTTTAATGTTAAGAATTCGATAACTCAACATTAGCCACATGCGGAATGAATTTCAACACCAAGTTATAGTGTGCCAAAAGTAAGTCTCGTGGGCCAGTGCTAGCGTGCCTGTTAGCGAGCAAGAATGCTCAGGATTGAATCCTTTGGCGGCATTCGTTGCGGTCATTGCCGAAACGAATAAGGGCCTGATGGCCGAGTGAGTAACGCTCTGGCGCTCGGTACCACAGGTTTCGGGTTCGAGTCTCGGCGGGGCCATGGATGTTTGTAGTGGTTCAGAATCTACAAATTGCCGTAGGTCACGGTCTAATTAGACTGTAGAGCGTTAGGAGTAAGGCTGACTACCCTACCCCGTAAAATGTCAGCGTCACGGAGCCGAGACAGACTTCTACATATGGGTGCTCCATCACAACAGAAGTTGTCTCCCTTTCCCTCCTTCCATGAGACCTTGGACTTAGTCTAGATGTTGCTGTCGACCAAGTGGGATAAGAAGCAACAGAAACGAAGAAATCTGACGGCGATTGTGATAAAGTGTGTAAAACGTCTCGCGCCGATGGTCAAACTACTTAGTGGGTGTTTTCCTCCATACGACAAGTGAATAATGGGCTATTACATCGTTTAGAATTCTCTCTGTGGCCTATTTGTGGTATACATAGTGGAACACGAAGCCCAGCGATGTTAAAAAAAAGTAAAATTTTCAGCCATAACGACTAACATACCATAGATAAACTAAATAATATAATATAATAATATAAATATTAATAATAACATTAATTAATAGAAATAAAATAATTATAATATAACTATCATCCTCCTCAGTCATCATCAGTGGCTCGAAAGCCCCATGGCGGACCAAGGCCGTCTGTCTACTGACAGATTTCGAGACGAAAGATGTTTTCTTTTTACGGGGTAGGATTGTCAACCCTACGCCCAACGCTATACGGCCCTATTAGACCGGGATTTATGATTTAAAGGGGATTTATAATATAACTAACTAATATAAATAACTTTCAATCATATTTCAGTGCAAACACCGCTCCCAAATGCCATTTAATGATTTTGTATTATTACTTGAGGTCCAGAGAAGTCTGATGGATTACCGCATTGGGTCTCCAATTTAAAGGATCTGGGTTCGAAATATAACAAATACCGAACAGAAAACAACAGTGTATATGCTGGTGATGGCAGGATCCCAAATGCCCTGCTCAACTCGACGAGGAAAGGTGTGAACACCTCAGATGTCATTCTTCGAATTGCTCATTTCAAATGACGGTATCACGTGTAGGGCTTGATGGCCGAGTGGCCAGTGCTCTGGCTCTCGGTACTACAGGATTCGAGTCCCGGCAGTGACGTGGATGTTTGTAGTGGTTCTGAATTCACTTTAAACCGTAGGTTCCGGTCTAATAGGATCGTAGAAACGTTGTGGGGGGTTATAGGATCGTAGAACGTTGTGGTTCTTCATCAAGCTGGTCACATCTTCAAGCTACACGTGCCTCCTGTTTAGGGTAGTGCTAAACGAGTAACAGTGGTGCAGTCCTTGCTTATGGCATAAAGATAACTGACCACCGGTTCTCGTTAGATCACCGAAGTCAAGCATCATTGGGCGCGGTCAGTACTTGGGTGGGTGACCACTTGGGAACACCGGCGTGCCGTTGGCAAATTTGGGACCTGAATGGCCGAGTGTCTAGCGCTCTGGCGCTCGGTGCCACAGGTTTCGGGTTCGAATCCCGGCGGTGCCATGGATGTTTGTAGTGGTTCGGAATCCACTTTAAGCCGTAGGTCCCGGTCTCCTATGACTGTAAGAGCGTCACGGAGCAAAAGTCAGGCTTCTACCTACGGGTGCTCCATCGCAACAGAAGCTGCTTCCTTCCCCTTCAACCATGAGTACGTATGGGCTCGTGGGCTTGGCCAGCCAAGTGGGATAAGAAACAACAACAAACAGATAACTGACCGAATTACCAACTGCATTAGGAAAAAAAAACATTATCTTGTATTGCATAAAACTTAAATTAAAACTTAATTAACTTAAATTGTATTGTACGCCTCTGTCATTAATCATGAATAACACTGTATTTGTTATAAATTTATTAAAAGTCTACCGATCTAGCATTTAACAGAATTGTATTTTATGACAACATATTATTATATAAAAGCCTCACAATTTCCACAAATAGCTCTTTCATCAGATACTACTGATAATGATGTTCTTAACAAAATGTTATTTATTTGCAGTGTTAAAAAAAATTTTATGTAAGCCGTGAGTTTATAACTATTTACCATGCTAAAATATCTAGATGCTTAAAATATCCATACACTGAAAATGATACTTATTCATTTATTAATAAGTATCATTTTGCGTTATAATTATTTAAAATTGCGTTATAATTATTTAAGATTTAAAAAAAAATATTTAAAATAATTTTATTAAATAAAATAATTTAATATTTTAATTAAAATTTAAGTTTGAATTCAATGGAGAAAACTTAGTTCCATATGAATTGAAGTACGCATTAAATAGAGATTAAAAGATTTGTGTACATTACACTTTTACAGCTATTTGTATGAATATATGAATCTATGTTATGTTTTATTAAAAATTATATTAATTAATTTTTTTATAATTATTTTAGGTAGATTACGGATTAACTGAAGAGCAAGTTGCGGGTAAGTATACTTTATAATTAATAAATATATATATTCTTCGAATAATATAACAGATAAAGAAATACTTACCGATTTTTTAATGATTTAATTACAAAATTAATATTTCAATGATTTAAAAATTATTCTTCGATTTCATATCTTTTAAAATAGCAGCACTAGTAAATTTGGTAACTTCTATACATTGAATATACAGGGTGATTATAAAAAAAATTTCTCGATGTACGAGTCCATAATTATTATATCATTCACAGAAACTGAATGAAATTTTATTTTTAGGTATGCGATCAAGAATAATATGAAAAACAACAGTTAAAGTCTCCCATTTAAGATTACAGGAACACGAATTCGAAAATTTCTTATGCCAACACCTACTGTTTTTTTACTGAAATGAGATCTCTATAGTGAAAAACCATAAATAGTATTGAAGCAGTACATGTAACACGAAATTCACCGGCGCTAGACAGACTACTACTACACCACATCACTGTGCCTAAAGCTGAGTTGCCCCTTTACAGTTGGGGAATGATGTGGGTGAGAAGTTGAACTGGGCTCTGTGAAGTTCTACAGCCATATGAGACCGGGATCTAAGGTTTAATGTGGATTCCAAACCACTAGAAACATCCATGGCTCCGCCGCGTCACGAACCCGAAACCTGTGGTACAGAGCGCCACTTGACACACTTTACTAGCTAGACACTTGGTCATTCAGACCCCAATGCTAGACAGATTACTACTACACCACCACATCACATCACTGTGTCTAGAGCTGAATTGTCTCTTTGCTTGGGAATGATGTGAGTGAGAAGTCTGGTTGCACTCTGGGACGCTCTACTGTCATATGAGACCGGGACCTACGGATTAAAGTTGATTCCAAACCACTACAAACATCCATAGCACCGCTGGGATTCGAATACGAAACCTGTGGTACCTAGCGCCAGGGCGCTGGTCACTCGGCCATCAGGAACCCATTTAGACAGACTAAGAAGAAAAGTGGAAACAACCAATAAGGACAAAGAAGCAACAGAAAGCAAAACATTTTAATATGCTTCACAAGCTTTTTGTGTGACCTTCTTCACATAGGATGACACTTTGCATGCTACAGATGATAAATAGCACTGAAGCATGTAGCATGTCAAGAGGAATTGGTTGAACCTGACGTCTGATGGCATATTTCAAATCAGATTCAGTTTGCGGGATTAAATGCACGTACTTTAGGTTTCAGTTATCCCACAGCTAGAAATACGTTGGAGAGAGATAAGGGGATCTTGGCGGCCCCGGAAAAGTGAAATGGATCGAGATATTTCTGTCACCAAACTGTTGCAGAAGACTTCATAAACAGGAGAGTGACATCTTGCATCCATACGACGTCAGATAGAGCATTTTGTTATAGCAGGGGTCTCCAAACTACGACCCGAGGGCCAAATCCGGCCCTCCAGTGTCATCCATCCGGCCCGCGACAGCGAATAGCTTATTGTTGCTGTAATAAGTTGGATAAAAAAATACAGAATGATAATAACTCGGTTTTATTTACTTGCTAGGTAAAGCTTAATGACAAGCATAATACTCAAAAAATTTAACTTAAGCATAGCAACTAACTGGAAATTATAGATAATGGCAGAAAAATTAAAATGATTTTGGCCCTTGGTACTTACTGGAGTAAACAGTATGGCCCTAAGGCTGGAAAGTTTGGAGACCCCTGTGTTATAGGAATACCTGAAATCTAAAGCGTTTGCATTTATTCCGAAAACTGTACCTGGTTTCAAAGATTCTGTCAGACATCAGGTTCAACAGATTCCTCTTGCCATAGCACGTGCTGGTGTGTGTTTAATAATGTGAGTAGGAGAATTTCGTGAAACACAACGAAATGTTTTGCTTTCGATTGCTTTTCTGTCTTTATTGGCTATTTTCCCTTTTTATTTTTTCCAACCAAGTTGTATTTATCCAACGATTGTGATTTTTTTTCCTTCTTAATGCTCTTCTGCACAGTTGTTTAAGTAAAAAGGCAAGAAGCAATTTTAAAATGTTTATTTCCTACACGAGTTACATTTATCTAACGGGTGAGATATTACTTTCTTACCAATGCTCACCTCCGTTATTTGTTAATAAAGATTAATACAAGAAGTTATTATAAAATGTGTGTTTCCTCTATGCGAGTTGCATTTATCCAACGGGTGGGATTCATTTTATCTCAATTCTCATATGTGCAGTTACTTCAGTGAACATTCGATGAATACCAGAAGTAATTATAAAGTGTTTTTAATGCGCTTTTAATAGTTTCGCCTTTATGTTTGTTTGTAACTGACTCTTTGGGCTCGATTTTGCCGTACTTTAAGCGATCCGATTTAATTTAAACGTTGTACACTTGTCAAGGACCGACTACACTAAAATATTTTGATAAGTTTATTATCTCATCATGATTAGGATCGCCAGGAGGAGTGATTTTATTTTAACTTATCAAGAGCAATTTAACCCATGTAGAATGAAAGTACCTAACACATTCAAACCTACGTGGGACAGTGGCACAACGGATAACGCGCCTGACTACGGATCAGGAGATTCCCTGTTCGAATCCTGGCTGGCTCGACCTATTCGCATTTAGCCTTTGTTTTACTCACAATTAAATTATTGTAAGAACTATAGTTCCAGTCCTCCGTACCGAGACCTCATTTAAATATTATAGTTTAAAAACACTAAAAAACGCGTTTTTAGAGTTAATCAAACTAAAAAGTAAAAAATGATTGTTAACTTAAGAATAAAATGACTGACGAGAAAATGAAAGTTCACTGTTCTAAAAGCGCGGGTGCTTTGTATGACATTTTTTAAACTAACTTTGCATTTCGGAATGAAACTAGTGAAAAATTATAACGATTGATATCGAGCACCCCACGCTTTCAGAACAGTGACATTCATTTTCTCGTCAGTCATTTTATTCTTATGTTAACAACTATTTTTTACTTTTTTGTTTGATTAACTCTAAAAGCGTGTATCTAATCTATTTTTTTAAATTATAATTTATTTTCCACCCAAGTTGCATTTATCCAACGGAGGTGGTTTTTTTTTCTTAATGCTCCATGCACAGTTGCTTAAGTGAAAATTCGATGAATGCAAGAAGCAATTATAAAATGTGTACTCGAGTTGCATTTATTGACAGGGTGAGATTTCTTTCTTCGTAATGCTGTTCTGCCCAGTTGTTGAAGTAAAAATTCGATTAATGCAAGAAATAATTATAAAGTGTATTTCGCGCCCAAGTTATTTATTCAACGTGTGTGATTCTTTTCTTCTTAATGCTGTCATGCGCAGTTGCTTAAATAAACGTCCAATTCTTCCCGTCTGGACTAGTGAATGAGACGATTGTGACACTCCCTGTTCAGTTGCATATTTAACATCTTAAAGAGAGAGGAAAATCAAATCAGGATCTTCAAGGTCAAGTATATTTATCTGCAAGAAGTTTACATCTCAAAACAGATGTCTTTAAGATAATGTTTATATTCATCCATCTCTCACTTGACAGCGATTAGTAAACTTATCACAGCGCTTCGTAAAGCTGTCAAGTTGCATATAGCCAAACTCGGATAAAAGGGTTGAGATTTTTACTACAAGATGTTGTAATTTTAGTGCTGTTATTAAATACAATGTTATTGTTTGGTTCACTTAAAATTTTATTCACTTTCCTGAATGAAAAGTTTCATTCCGCAAAATATTTTATGCGCTTATTATATTTTTTCGTTATCTATTCATCTGGCAAACGTTTTGAATCTTCCTCTACTAATTTATTGCTTGTTTAATTTCAATTAAATTGCTGTCTTTTCATTTTTTTATTTTTCAAAACTACAACAACATATGCTCGACTCACGGTCCGGAGACAACGTGAACATTAGGACTGAGATTCAATCTACTGGCGCCATTGTTGTAAACGTTGTTTCAAAAAACGATTAGCCTCGATGGCGTTTGGGATGTTCAGCATCTTGCCTCATGAGTTGGACTACCT